ATATTAAAGGAACAAAAAATTTATAATTACAGATTCAGATCAGTTTTACCAAATTAAGTCAAAATTAGACCTTTTCACTTAAGTTTTTCACACAGATCTTATTTAAAAATTTAACTTTTTAATTTTTAATTATTTATAATTTAATTTTTTATATATTTTTGTTGATTTTAATTAATATTTTATATAATAAAAAACAAAAAAACAATTACTATCACAACAACGCTACACCGCACAATACTGTCAAACTAGTTCTCTGTGTAGAAAATTTGGTTCCATTATCTTTACATTTACGTTGACGAAAATTCTGAATTCCAACCACTTGTTGACCCAGACGGAAGAAATTCAGATTTTATTAAATAAGTTTTTATGAGTTGAAGTTTTATTAATAAAAAAATAAATATTAAAAAGCTTCACCTTACTTAGTTTTCTTTTTTTTGATCGATATTACATGAGTGGGTTTCAACCCCTGCCCAAAAAGAGAGGAGGAGTGCATCTTCAATGTGATCGAGACCACTTCACTCGAAGAGTCAGATGCTTCACCTTACTTAGTTTATACCATACGAAAGTATTTGATTTTGAATTAATTAAAAATTAACGTCTTTTACAAATATCAAGGGATTAATTAAAAAAAAAAACCTTTTGAATTCCGTGGCATGGACCACCAAATTCCAATCCTTATCCTGGGAGTTTTCCATGCTGACACAAGATGTCCCTATCTTTGATTATTTCGAAGTAGTTTATTTTCTAATCTACTTCTCCTACAGTCCTACCAATCAGAGATCAAATTTTATGGATTCATAAGATAAGTTCTGAAAAATGCATTTCTTTATTAAAGAGGAAAATTGAACAGGAAATGCAGGTACCATCATAGAGGCTGTTCCTATTTGCAGTCGAAACTTCATATGATACGAAGCGACTAAATATTTTACAGCAAAAAACCTGCACAATCCTCCTGTAAACAGCGCCTACATATTTACAGTTTAATATCAAAAAGAAAAGGGATGTCTGATCTCCTGCCAACAGAACAGGATTCATAAACTACTAACTGTATCCACGTCTACGTTCCAGCTTTGTTCGAAACTACAACTGCACATAAAATTTACTTTGGCAGAAATTAACATGATACATGGAACCGTGACCATGAATAATTCACAGTACATTGCTGTATCTCGTCACTTCTCGTACACGGGTTCTTTTTTCCACTAGTTTCCTTATGGAGAACCATTTCAAAATACTGAACAGCTTGGTCCATCTCCTCTGTGCTTTATCAACGGCTGTAACAGCTGTTGTTCGCTGCAATAAGAATCCGCTGACAGCACTTTCTAGATCAACTGGTGATTCCAGAGCAAGGTTCGAGGATTGCAGATCACTATCAAAAAATCCAAGATGTTCGTCATCGCAGAAAACTTGAGAAATGGATTCTGTGTCACAGATTACTTGTCCAGGATAACTCAAAGGCTGGTCATATCTAAGACCCATATCTTCAATACCATGCAAAGTAAAATCATCCAAGCTACTCACACCACCAACATTATAGATGGACGAAATGATATCAGGAGAGGAAGCATCCGGTTGTGCATAATCAATTCCAACAATCTTTTGAGAATCCAAAAGCTTGTTCCCATTAGAAATATCGGCACTAGTCAAGTTTGAAGAGCCACCAACCAGAGCAGCTTCATCTTCATAAGAAACAACTTCCTCCCAGTGCTCAGATGCGGCAATTACCAAGCTTTGAGCTTCAGCCTGACAACAGAACTGATAATTAGAAGCCCATAAACCACATAATAGTAAACAGGCAGAAAAAAAAGGGAGAAAACAAATTAAATCAGATGAGGTAAGGGAACAATGCCTTTTCTGTTTCAGACAGCTTATCAATAGGCATATACTGGCATTCTGAAAGTAGTCCCAGCATTTGTCCCACAACATTGAAGACCACACCAGATTTCTGTTGAGAACCGGAAGGACAGTACAAGTACAGCCCACTGTCAAGCACACATGTCCGTGCATGCTCAACAGTAACTTCCCACATTTTAGCAGACATACCTGTGCCAAGGATCTGCATATTTTCCAGAGTTACAATTATTCTAGAATCATCACAATTCTTGATAAAAGTAGTAAGTTTGCACTTATAGAGGGAACCATAACCTAATGAGGCTTAATACGAAGCATGGATCTTACTACAGCATAAATCAATTTAATATAAAAAATTAACACATCTAGTAGTGCATGACCGTGCAGAAAACCACTAGGAAAGCTAATCCAAACATATCCTAAATCTTATTTAAGCCTGGAACACAAGTAAAAAGGTCCTGCCATCCTATCTTCTTGAGAAACCAAAATTTAAGAATTGAATCACAGACTGGCAGATAAAAACTGATATTAGGGCTGGAAGTCTTTGCTAGTCTTTAATAATTAAGAGTTCCATATACAACTTGTAAAAGGGTGATTGAATCAGTTGCATCTTTTTGGCAAAAAAAGAAGAAAAAAGATTATCCTTTTTCGTTAATTTCTGATGGACATTTTAGATAAGAGAGGATATTCAAGCTAAAATGTAAATGAACTGAACTCTCACTTAAAGAACTAGATAGAGTGACAAAAGTACAAAGAAATAAGGGTAGTAAAGCCTCACATGTCTGAGCCTTGAGGGGTCTACAAAGAGCAGTGTCAGGAAATCTTTTACAGTATAGATATTTTCCCGACAAAGACGCTTGTGGAAAGCCCCATCTTTGCCAATTTTTTCCAATCTCCACACTTCATCAGACAGACACGGTGGGTGATGCTTCTTATATACTGCAATCAAAGTCAAGAGTTTTAAAAGTGTCTTCTGTCTGTTCCCAGCTCCTTAAGAACTAACAACAAATAAGTCCCAGAGGACAGAATAACAAGAAATTTCCACAACAAAATCAAGCCAACTTCACATAATACGCTAAGGTTTCCACTTCCATCACACAATTTTCAGAATTTTACAATAACATCATAAACAATGGGGTCATGAAGCAAATTAAGGGAGAAAAACTAGGAAAAGAAAGGATGAGCAGAACATTTCCAATTATTGCTCATCTTTTAATCTGAATTACAAGAAGAAAATTGAATACTGCTTGACCTAAGTGCTGCCTGCCTTAGGCTGAATAAATCAAACAGGGAAAAGAGATAATCTTTCTACTGGGAAAAACATCAAAATTTGGAGTTCGAAATTGCTTGGTCCGTTAAAAAACTGTTACTAGATCCAACCTCCACAGTTTATGTGCAACTTTTAAAACACAGAATATTAAGTGATGGACCACCCCAAACCTGAAGGTGGCAAGGTGGAAT